CAATAGTGAGCCTTCGTGTGACGTAGCTTTACGCAATCACACTTCGTTAAAGTCCCTGTAAAGTCAATTCTACAAAAAAAGTTCTAAACACATTATAAATGTTACGTATTGCTAAAACATATTACAAAGTCTGTGAACTGTGAAGTACTGAAATGTGGAGTTAGACCGTTAAACAGTTTTTCACCATTGCAATTTTACTGATTAATTAGGCGGGGCTAAAACAGGGCTCCGTGACGCACTGGAACCCATGAGCTGCTGGACACCCCCCTATTTGATGACGCACAGAGTCTGATCTCTCCCCTTTTACACACAATAGGCTTGTTTGAGATGCGCCTCGCCTCGCCTGCAATGTAGTCGAGAGTAGGCAGCTGCAGTGAGGGGAGGAGTGAAAAAAGCGCAATAAAGCCGGACAGATCTCGGTTCTCGCAGTGAATCAGACACCTGTGAGATCAAAGGCGGATATCGCGGGATTAACGGGATTCACGCTCGTGCACGTGTTGCTAATAAACTGGATGTGATTTAAGTTCTGTTGCTTTTATATAAAAATAAATATAATGAACAAGACACCCAAAGTACTTGTTAAATATGTGTTTATCAATCTTTTTTTCTTTCTTTAATACAGACGTGTTTATTGTTTTAACAAAAATGAAATATAACCCATATGGCACTGTCAGAGAGTTTATTCACCCATATATGTATACACATAAAACATGATATCAGTTTTAAAATCAAACATTTTAAAAGAGAACAATTCATCTGTTGTTCTTTTATTTTTATTTATTTTACTTTTTTATTAGAATGCAAGTTACAAACATAGCCTACCTACAAGCACCAATTCGTGAAACAAATAGGCCTATTATACATCGACAAATAAATAAACATCAGAATAAAATTAATAAATAAATCAAAATAAGCTTAGCTTAAATAGACAGACTTACAAACTTCATCATCTATAAAATGAGAGCTATTTTTCACTTGAACATTTTAGAGTAGGCCTAGTATATTTGAGTTACTGACTATAGCTTTCTTATTTTTAACCCGTTTAAGAGATTCACAATATATATCAGTTTCAATTAAAAAAAAAAAAACATGGCCTTGATTTGGAGAATTTAGCTTAATGAATATGGAATTTACCTTCATCATGTTGTTTAAACCAATGAGCATTAAGCTGTGTCGTCAGCAAGTCGTTTCCCATCATGCTTTTGATCAGCGCAGTCGGTGGAGAGCAACTGCGCGCGACTGCAGAATCCGACTCTTCCGCCTTGCACTCGCGAGAGTTTTTTGACATACGTCGGCATGACATCAGAGCCAGGCGGACCGTTCTCGGACACATTTCTAACCGGCATGCATCTCGCGCTGATCACCGGTGATCGATTCTGCGCAGAATTTGCTCATCTCAAACAAGCCTAATAACAATAAAAATAATTCTGCAATAAAAAATTTAAAAAAAACACACAATAACACTCCCCGAGCACATTCGCATTCACCGCACAATCACGAGTGACTGTCAGTACTATTAGTTACTACAGCTGAGCCTGAGCCTACAGTTTTATAGCTAACTTAGCTATGCCTTCGACACGGGCATGCATGGGCTACCTGGATGCGATCATGTACAAAACAGATCGGTATCTTCATTTAAATTCCCTTAAAAACGATCAGATCAAGAAGAGGTTTTTAGAGAGCCTAACGTTACCTTAATGAAGAGCTGAGGATCACCGACAGCAACACCCGCCTCTGTAGTGATCGTTTTACACTGGATCGTTTTATAAACTTTCCTCAGAGACAACTTGGATTCACTGATAATTCACTGATAATCCGCTGTTACTGGTGAACAGGGCCGAAACGACGATCTCCCGCCTCAGTGTTCATCCTCCCGTCTCCAAAAGCTAATCAGCTAATATCACCGTCAACAGCTTTCCCGTGAGTGGGCGTGGTTTCAGCACAGCCAGTGGACACGCCCCCAGCGTTTGAGAGCAGAAAATCTGCTCATTTTTTCATGATTTTGATAGCTTATTTTGTACTTCCCGACTTTTTTTATCATTCAAATTTGGCTGGGTGGCTAATTACACATTTTTTTGTGGTGTGACAAACTCAGAACACAATACATACTTAATTTTGACTTTATACAGGGACTTTAACTGACTACAGGCCCATAGAGAAGGAAGTGAATAGTTGAAATAAAGTCGTTATTTTTGTTTGTTTTTGCGCACAAAAAGTGTTCTCGTCGTTTGATAAAGTTAAGATTGAGCCCCTGTAGTCACTTGGACTATTTTAACGATGTCTTTAATGACTTTTCGATGCCAGCAAGAGTCATTCCCTCAAGATGCCTTAAATATCTTAATTTGTGTTGCGAAGATACACGAAGGTCTTACGGGGTTGGAACAACATGAGGGTGAGTAAATACTGACAGAATTTTCATTTTTTGGTGAACTAACCGTTTAAATCTCCCCCTGGTTGAGAGCCACTAAATACCGTCTTTTTTGGGGGGGAAGTATGTAAAACAGTAAAATAATACACAGGAAAAATGTTTGCAGATACGTATATGCTGCATTATTGCATTGCATGTTTGTAGTCAAGAATGAGATGCAAAAAATCAGATATTACTTGGAGTTGTTTAGTTAGTCACACTGAACATGTTTGAGGAAGTTATTTTTAGTGCTTCAGCAGAACTACTTAATCCTGTATCAAACACACAGTAAGGGTTAGAGGTACACAAACAGGAGAGTGCATCTGTTGTTTGTCATGCATCCACTCTTCTCCACAACGAGCCACTGGAGAGCTGGCGGAGATGTGAGGGACAGATGGAGGCTCGCTGATGCAGGAGGACAGTGACGTCAGAGACTCGGAGGGAAGCTGGAGATGTAGAAACAAAATCCTTCTCTCTCTGCTTTAACCTTCAAATGGTCTTCGTTTCCTGTTCACACTTCTGGGCTTCAGGGTCTATACGACCCCAACAATTGATTGAGTAATTGTACCAAAAATATACGTTTTTAATCATATGCCTTTAATCATCATACAAATAATATATCATTTTGTTTGTTTACTTCTCATCTATTCATTAATGCCGTGTTTTTGGAGATATAAAGTACTTTTGTATCCATATACCACACAATTCCTCAGCTACACCATTAGCTTGCATATGATTTTTTTTTTATGATACATTGCATTTATGCTCTAGTACTAGGCCTTCATTTCTTTGTAAAAAATGTCAAAGGTTAAAAGGCACGCATTTCTCATTCAAACATGCATCAGTGAAACATCTCAGACAGCAACATAGTGTCGGCCCACATCTGGTACGTGTGGAGTCCACTTGCACCAGATGTGGGCTGTATCTGGGCCGATTTCTAACACACACTTACAGTGTTCGGTGGAAGTTCTCTCTTCCATATATATATTTTTTCTTTTTAAAATGATATTCCACCCAAAAATGAAAATTCTGTTATCATTTACTCACCCTCAAGTTGTCAGTAGCACCTCATTGCAGTACACAAGATCCAGGGGGCGGAGTCGGATCCAGATCTGAGGGGTGGAGCTGGGTAGGTTTAGGGGTGGGTTTAGGGATCAGGGGGTGGAGCTGGGTAGGTTTAGGGGTGGGTTTAGGGATCAGGGGGTGGAGCTGGGTAGGTTTAGGGGTGGGTTTAGGGATCAGGGGGTGGAGCTGGGTGGGTTTAGGGATCAGGGGGTGGAGCTGGGTAGGTTTAGGGATCAGGGGTGGAGCTGGGTAGGTCTAGGGGTGGGGTTAGGGATCAGGGGGTGGAGCTGGGTAGGTTTAGGGGTGGGTTTAGGGATCAGGGGGTGGAGCTGGGTGGGTTTAGGGATCAGGGGGTGGAGCTGGGTAGGTCTAGGGGTGGGTTTAGGGATCAGGGGGTGGAGCTGGGTAGGTCTAGGGGTGGGTTTAGGGATCAGGGGGTGGAGCTGGGTAGGTTTAGGTATATGTAAGGTGGGAGGAGTTGGATCTGGATCCAACTCCTCCTCTTGGATTTCATGTTCTGCAGTGAGGACCATCTCCAAGTTGTTGCAAACCTGTATGAGTTTCTTTCTTCTGCTGAACACAAAGGAAGATATTTTGAAGAATGATTGGAACCAAACAGTTGTTTGGCACCATTGACTTCCATGGAAATACTATGGAAGTCAATGGAGCCAAAGTTCCAATCGTTCTTCAAAATATCTTCCTTTGTGTTCAGCAGAAGAAAGAAACTCATACAATTTTCATTTTTGGGTGGAGTATCCCTTTTAATGATCATGTTTGTAATGATCGTTGGTCCAGCTCTGGCTGACAGGAGGCCAGCAGTGCCAGCTTGAGGCCGCATTCATGCCAAGATCGCTCGCTACAAAATAAAGCCACAAGCAGCAATCTTCAAGGTCGGATGTGGATGATTGGAGATCCAGTTGATATAGTATCTTTTCAAATATGATGTGTTTTTGTAATACACACTTGTATCAAGAGGGGCCATCAAATGAAATCACTCCATCTTACTGTTATAAGAAGAGAAGTCCAAAACTTTAACGAGTTAAAGGAGTAGTTCACTTTTAAAAAAACTTTTGCTGATAATTTACTCACCCCCATGTCATCCAAGATGTCCATGTCTTTCATTCTTCAGTCGAAAAGAAATGAAGGTTTTTGATGAAAACATTCCAGGATTTTCTCCATATAATGCACTTCAATGGGGTCCAAACGGTTCAAGGTCCAAAAGACACTTTCAGTGCAAACTGTTCAAAGGGCTTTAAACGACATCAGACGATGAATAAGGGTCTTATCAAGCGAAACGATCGCTCATTTAATAAATAAATAACAAAGTTTAAGTTTTATAAGCTCAAATGGTCGCCTTGCTCTGTTCTGTGATGCGCGTTCGTGACTCTCCTGTTCATCAAAATGAACGAATCTTTTTTCGTGTCATTTGGTTCATTCAACGAACGAAATGAACGAGTTGACTCATTGTTCATTTGTAGGCCCTAACTCTAGGCCCTTGTGGACTAAAAAGCTAAAAAGCTCAATTTTATTAGATTTTTTAGTTTATTTCAATTATTATTCAAACATGCATTTTAGACTCTATTCCTACAACATGATAGTTTAAACATAAGATGCCATTTCCGTCTTTTGAACAGTGTTACAAAAATCAATAGAACAACACATTAATGATACAGTACAGAGTATTGTCACAAATGATAGCGGATGTCACACATTTAAGCACACACACGACACACAAACACACACTATTATTAACCCGCGAGCAGTAATAAATTATTGGCCCCATCGGTCACTTCAGACATTAAGAAAAAGCAAATAACGAAAGCATCGATAAATCCACTCACTGCTAAACTGGGGCATATCAATCATCACAACACTGTCCACGACTGAACAAAGAGACAAATGTTGGATAATGGAGAGTTAAACGCATACTTTGATTAGAGCAATCTACTATAGTGATGATTTGATTGTCCATATACTGTATTCAGGGCATCTCGCCTGAGATATCACTATAATTTGAACCTAAAATGTGCTAATACCACATCGTTTTTGTGTATCACAAGATATGGATCGACTATATTCTCCGGACGGCTAACAAAAGATCAAAAGATAATCAAAAATCACAGAAGGAATACTTTTTTTCTCAATAAGTATTTTCTTGGCAACTCTTGCAAAAGCTAGCATGTTGAATTTACATTGTAATTATGAAACACAGTTTTCTGAAAGTGTCTCTTTTGTCATCTCTCTATTTCGTGTCCTTCCACTTTGCATTGCACAAATTCAGTTTGTGATCTCCTCAGTAGCCTCATCCACGGACCATCTGAGCGCGTGAGGACGAGTGTGTGTGTGTGTGTGCAGGAATGTAAAATAGCAGCGTTCTGCTGGTGTTCGCAGTTGTCCCCGGCCCGGGCTCAGTCGGACCACTCGTTCTCCTCCGGCTCCGAGTCCTCGTCCGACTCGCTGTACTCCACTGCGATGCGTCGGGACAGAATGGTGGCCACGTCGTTCCCCACGGGCTCTTTCTTGGCCTCCTGCTCTCGCTGCTCTTGCACCTTACGAAGCTGGATACCTGGAGGACAAGTCACAGTCAATAACAGATAATGCCTACGTCCTAGGACAGTAGGTTTCTAGAAAACACGGGTGCATTAGGGCTATGACGTAATTCGCCATATAGAGGGAACACACTCCCTCAGTCGGACTGATGAGTGACTGGATATAATGGGGGAAACATGAGTAAAACGAATGATTATCAGTTTAAAGGGATAGTTGACATTGAAATTAATTTTTGCTATGTTTTAGCTTACCTCAAGGGCATCCAAGATGTAGGTGTCTTTGTTTCCACAGTAGTTGCAATTTTGATATTTTTAGGTCAAACTGTTCTTGTCAGTCTTATAATGGAGGTCTATGGTCACCACCTCAAAGAGCATGCACAGAGAAGTCCAGATTAAACATGATTTAATGACTCGTAAATGTAAGTAGACATTGATGGCCTAAGACACGAAACGAGCGGTTTGTGTGAGAAAACGAACAGTATTTATATCGTTTTACCTCTTGTAATCATAGCCACGTCCAACTGATCTGATCTGAGGGCGCGTACGCTTTGTGGATGTGGTTACAAGAGGTAAAAACGATATAAATACTGTTCGTTTTCTCACACAAGTGTCTTCGGCCATCAATGTGTACTTACATTTACAAGTCATTGAATCATGTTTAGTTTGGACTTCTCTGTGCATGCTCTTTGAGGTGGTGACCATAGACCTCCATTATATGACTGACAGACACGAACGGTTTGACCTAAAATATCAAAATTGAATCAAAGACACCTACATCTTAGATACACTTGAGGCAAGCCAAAATATATCAAAAATTAATTTCAAAGTGAACTATCCCTTTAAACTAAAGGTTGGACTTGATATAGTGTTCCTTACAACTTACCAAATACAGGTGAAACTCGAAAAATTAGAATATCGTGCAAAAGTTCATTTATGAAAACCTTTTCACAATATTCTAATTTTGAATTTGAGGTTTTCATAAGCTGTAAGCCATCAACATTAAAACAAATAAAGGCTTGAAATATCGCACTTCGCATGTAATGAGTCTATATGATATATTAGTTTCACCTTTTAAGTTGAATGACTGAAATAAATTACATTTTTTCGAGTTTCTCCTGTTTCTAGTGATCATGGATATCGATATGCAGCCAGGATCGTGTTTCTTGACATTTATATGAGCTGAAGAAATACATAAAGCAAATTTGCCTGTCAATGCTTTATATAAATACAATATAGGTCTAAATCTATGTGATGACTCATATACATGTAATATATATCACCATATTGTTTTTTGTCAGCGTTATTTTAAAAACATCCAATTATGCATAATATTTGATGGTAAATATTTAATTGATGAGTTGTCAATACAATAAATTCAGCATTTTGACACAAAACGATAACTGCAAATCCAGCTTTCTCTGCCCGGATCCAGTTGTTTTTAGCTTTAGCAGTCTGTGGTCAAATCTAGTTGTACAGTCAATCTCAAAGCTCTTTTCCGTTTTAGATGTGTTTTGTGTGTTTTTCCTGTCATTCACACTGCAAACTAATGCTGCCGCTCAGTGTTTCTGCCACTCAGTGTGTGTATCCGCAGTCATTTATTAGAAAATGTATTAGACGTCTAAACCATATCCCAAGAATAGACTAGTTATCAATACGATAACAAAGAAATTAAATAACTAGTCTATTCTTGGGACATGGTTGAGACGTCTATTAAATTTTCACAGCCCAAATTTTGCCTCGTTTAAGACGTCTAGGCTGGACGGCTATTAGACGTCTTTTAACCCTCTGATGGTCTTCGTTTAGGAGTCACGTCCTGGGGCTTCCCGGTCAGAAGTGACCGGACACCTATAATAAAACTTCATCCATCCCAGTAAAAAGCTATTATTTTTGTTCTATAATATTTAATTTAGTTTTTTGAGACAATTTGATTGAATTTATTAATATTTATGCAATATTTATTGTCTATTTTTGCCATTAAAAAATATATATATATATTTCTAAATATGTATTATTATATTTTTTTAATTATTAATGCAGTATTTTAGTTTAATATAGAATCTAGGCCTTCAGAAAAACATTTTTTTTAAGAAAATTAGCACCATCTAGTTACAGTATAGAGAAAAAGAGTAGAATCATGGTGTAACCACTAGATGGCATGTACAGCTCTCTATGGAGAAGCATGTGAATTCCCCACATGTTTATGAACACATTTACTTTTTTTTTTTGGTGGATTTGAATATATAGTTTAAAAAATCTCAAAAACTATTTCTTATTAATTTTTTTAGAAATAGTGATAAAGTGTTAGTTTTTGCATTATAATTACAGCCAAACATTGGATTAGAAAGAGAAGCTTGTGTTGCTATAAGCAAATTTTTATACCCATTTTTTTCAGAATTTGTATAAAAAATGCAATACATTCAATTATAACACTTTATGTAGAATAATACTGAAAAAAAAAATTGAAAAAAAAATTTGGTGAATTTTTGTGTTTTTGTCAATTTCCCATTCATTTCCTATGGGGGTCATTTTTGACCGAAGACCAAAATTGTGACTAATTTTTTTAAGACCACTTAGCATGCTCAGATCATGACCTCAATTTTTTTGTGTGTTCATTTACCTAATGCCAGAAATGTCACCAAGTTTCGTAACATTCTGATGAAGCTGTGATTTTTAAAAATTCAAAACAGATTTTTTGTAATGTGAATTTATTGGTGTGTATGTGTATAAAAGTGTGTTTGTATGTGTGTGTGTGTGTGTGGGTGTGAATTTTGTGCACTCTAGATGTTGTAGAGTGTCACCCCTTTACTGCGGTGTACTTTCTTTTAGAATCGGGGCCGATTTGTAGATTGTACAGAAAAAAATTCAGAGAATTATGCTTAGCGTACTGACCTCTGCGGATGGCGGCCAGCAGGTCGCTCCGGGCATCACTGATGGGGACGAGGGGCACCTGGCCCTTTCTGGGAAGAGTAGACTCTCCAGGTGTGTGTGTTCCTCGGGACGGGGACGGGGCGTGGGTGGGGGGTCCCGGTGGAGGGGGAGGCGGGGCCATCGGTGGGCCGCCCATCACAGCATGCGACGGGGAGGCGGTGTAGGCCGAGGCGGGGGCCGGTGGAGGAGAGGGGCTGTAGGGCCGTGACAGGGAGATCACTGTCCCCGGAGCCAGCGATGGAGGGCCAGATGTGCTGTCGAACGCAGTCTGAGATGAAGGGATGAGGGGAGGAGGGGGCGGGGGGGCGGGTGGGACGAGGTGCTCGTGGATTTGATGGCCGCTGTCAAGGGATTACAAGGAAAGTTGTTTAAGTCATTTCCTACTATTGCCTCAAAGGAACAGTTAAAGATGAGCAGTTTCCTTAAACCTAAATAATTATTGAAATGTTTACACAGCTTAAAACAAGTGATTACAAGGGAAATATGTTTAAGGAACTACTGTAGTCCACATTTGAAGCGGATCAAAAAAGTTCATCAAAGTTGTCCTAGGACAAGACCGGAAATTGTTCCAAATTCATGTATAAAGGTTTTGATCCACTTTAAATGTTGACTACTATTGAAAAATATTTTGTCATTCCTATTATTGCCTGAAAAATAACAGTTCACCCAAAAATAAAGTTGAGTAGTTTACTTACCCACAGTCATTTTAAACCTAAATAATTATTGAAATGTTTGTACACTTTATTGAAATGTTTACACAGCATAAAACGTCCTCATTAAAACTAAGCGTTCATTTAATGAAGCTCCAAAAACTGCTTGTTTTGATATTGCGGGATCTGGGCAAAAACAGAGCAAGATATCGACCAATAGTTATTCATCATCTCATCGTAGGCTCCGCCCACTGGCGCCTACACTGGATGTGAGCGTCACGTCAAAAGCAAATAAAAGCACAGATTCGGGTAAATAATAAGGAGCTTAAATTACTTTTATTATTATTAAATGTCATCTTGTTGTGTTGTTTGGTGCAAGAATTGATGAAAATGAATATGCTGTCTCTGGAATTTTTATCTCTAGAAAATATTCACATGATTAAAATCGCACCGTAATGTCACTCTTTACATTGTCGTCGTCTCTGCGCTGACTCGGCAGAAATGCGGATCGTCCAGTTTAAACAGCTGGTTTGCGTCTCTGTTCAGACTTCAATAGATCTCAGCATCGGAAACAAGTGGATGGTTTATTTTAATGCCGTCTAGGATCGCATCACTGTTTGTCCAGAGCCTTTTATTTTGTAATGGAGAGTTCACAAAGAAGCTTTTGTGGAAAGATGAAGCAGCGACTGCATTAAATCTGACAGCAGCTTCATCACAAATGATTTCATAATGCTTTGCTTTGTCTGTAAATTATGGTTTTATATGGATAATGTTTTCATAACGGTAAAGTGTTGTGACTTTTTCCTATGCAGAGACGTTAGCCAATCATAACAGTGGCGTTTACTGACAACTCTTAAAGGAGCCGCGCCTTAAAAAAGGCTCAGAATGAGGGTTAAAAATAATTAATTTTGTTTCGTGTGGAATTCTTTAACATTATAAGTGAACCTGAAGGAACATATTGACAATAACTTTCCTTTTTGGGTGAACTATTACTTTTTCACACATGGAGATGAAACACTACAAAAACCAGTTTCACTTTATTTTGATGGTCCCTTTAACACATTCTGCTGACTATAAGTTATGTTGCACCCACATGTCTACTAACTCTCATTGTAGAGTATTGTAGGTTAGAATAAGCCAGACATGTGGTTGCAAAGTTACTTATAGTCAGTATAATGTCTGTTGGAGGAGCATCAAAATACAGTGTGAGCAGATATTAAGACATGAGAGTTAGTTGACATGTTTTTGCAAAGTCACTTACAGTAAAAATAAAGTCTTACTCAAAAAAAACAAAAAAAACAATGACTTGATTAAAATACATCTGGATATCACAACATTACTTTAATGATAAAAGTAGCACCGCTAGTTGTTTTCTCCCCAATAATAGAAGTAACATGCCTGTATTCTTTCGTAGCTGTTGGCCGGGGCCCGTTGAGAGCTGATTCTGGCACTGGGGGCCCGTGGTGGACCTGGAGGCGTCCCAGAGAGTGCTGTCGGGCCCCAGCAGAACCGGAGGAGCCCGGGGGCCGGTGCGCTCGGTCCAGGGACTGAGTCTGCGTGGGGCCGCCGTCTTTCCCATCAGCCCCTGCTCCGCCAGCCTCCGGTGGGTGGTTCGGACTCGCTGGGTACGAGTGCTCGTCTGACATACCAGATCTGCGTTAAATCAAACAACACAATACACAGGTATTATTATATGGCTATTCAGTATAGAATTTACTTTAAAGGGATAGTTCACCCAAAAATTTTAAATTAGTCAAATCAAGTCATCCTAGGTGTATATAACATCCTTCTTTCAGACGAATATAATGTCCTGCTCTTCCAAGTGAATGGGCACCATATTGAATGGGCAGCCATTCCATTGGCTGTAATGAAGTTTTAATGAAGTCAAATGGAGTAAGTAATAGTCAAACGAGTAACTTTATTTAGCTTCAGATCAGAGCAAGATAGAGAGCCATCAGTTTATGAGAGCTGCCAAAGAAACAATTCATTTTTTTTGGTAAACTATTAATTTAAAGGGACAGTTCACCCAAAAAGGAAAATTCTGTCATTAATTACTCACCATCATTTCGTTTCATAACTCACCTTTCATCTTAAGATCTTTTTGATGAAATCACTCCATTGACAGGCTATGCAACTACCACTTCAAAACTTTCACAAAGAGATTGTAAAACTACTCTACATGAATTGAGTGGTTTAGTCCAAATTTTCCTAAGAGACTCGATCGTGTTAAATTACGAACAGACTGGATTTGGGCTTTTATTCACATAAAAACATTGTTTAGTGAACATAAACAGAAGCGCAATCGAACCAGCTTGACGCGCTTTGAACTCAGAAGTTCAAACATGATTGTTTATATGAATAAAAGACTAAATTAAATCTGTTCATCATTTATAAAGCAATCGTGTCTCTTCCACCCAATTCATATGGATTAGTTTTACGATCTCTTTATAAACGTTTTTAAGCATCAAAGTGGTAGTTGCGTAGCCTGTCAACGGAGGGACAGAAAGCTCTCAGATTTCATCAAAAAGATCTTCATTTGTGTTCAGAACATGAACGAAAGTCTTACGGGTTTGGAACGACGCGAGGGTGAGTAATTAATGACAGAACTTTCATTTTTGGGTGAACTATTGGTAAATATGTTGCATTCTTCAAAAGTTGCTTGACTGTAGAGAACAGACCGTAGTACCCACCGATCTGGAGACAGAGATCCCTCAGAGGACATGCCATGGTAAGGAGACGGTGTTAGACGAGTGTCCGGACGAAACTCCTTATCGTACGCCATCATATTCCACTCCTGACGCCGGTTACGAGCTTTACGGACCTTCTTTACCTCACGTGAGGGATCCTCTGAGTGTTTTTGCTCTTGCTAAGACAGAAAAAAAAGGAAATGTTTATATAAGTCTGAATACTATTTAGAAATGGTAGAGTTAGAAAAGTAGAGTTATCTCAGTCAGTGTTTGGGATTGACGACTGTATTTAATAACAGGTGTGACTCTGGAACTGTATGAAGAATGACTTTTGTTATCAGTCCCTTCAGCATTTCACGATTTTTTTTTGGTGATTTTTGCGATCAAAATGACTGATGTTGTGGTGGTAATTTCCAAAAATGTGTGAAAAAATGTGCGATTAATATATAACATTTACCATAATAGTATGGACTTTTAGTTTAGTAATGTGTTGGGCGAGGGATTAAGACTGTGTTAGTGTACTTACAGTATATAAAGCATGTTTCTGGCCACACACACACACACACACACCTTCTGCCGGCGTTTCTCCTTCCTCTTGTTTTCTGTCGCTTGCAGCATCTTTTCCTTCCAAAGATTAAAAAAGTAGGATGGATCTGTATAGAATTTGAGCCCGTCTTTTTTGTCATCCCTGTAAGACAACACAACACGACACTTAGAAATGAAATTCTTTTGTTTAACATTGGTTTTTATAATCAATTTTATTTGTAATTATTTAGCATGAGGAGAATGAAGTCTATTTTAACAGCCATTACGTTTTTACCACCAATTACCATAACTAAAGAGCTGAGAGGGAAGGACACTTTCATGTACTTTTTTATTTATATATTTTTTAATAAACCAAGAAATTAACCAACATTTAACTTAATAGATTAAAACTTGTATAATGCATTACAAAAGTGATTTAATGCATTAATTATGCCTTGTAATGCACCTTATAATGCATTATATGATGTATTTTTTACAATTGTTCATGCCATCATATAATGCATTATGAGTATTTACATATAATAGTATAATGCAAATTTAAATGTATAATGTATTAAAACACATGACGAACATTCAATTTCAGATGTAACAGGGAATCTGTAAAATACATTATGCATTTTAACTTTGATTACTAATTATTAATGCATTATAATATACATTATGAATTCCTTTAATAATGCGTTATACATAAGGGCTTTAAGTAAAGGGTTACCAAAGTGACTTCTGGATTATCATATGCTAATATTGACAAGAGAGAAGTGACAATAAACACATGACATATATTCTGTTCACCAAAATGACAATTTTATGTTCAAACAGAAAAGTAATAAATTCTGTGCAATGTGTTTAGTAGGGGCTATCGTAACCGTAATGCATGTGTTTAACCATTAATTAAAATTTCATCTAGTTAAGCTTAAATGAAATGTACTATACAGATGCTATCATGTTGTACAATCAAAATTGTACTTTATGATATACAAGACAAATATAGAAATACAGGTGAATATATTATATAGACTCATTGCATGCAAAGTGAGATATTTCAAGCCTTTATTTGTTATAATTTTGATGATTATGGATAACAGCTTATAAAAACCATTGCATGTAATGAGTCTATATAATATATTAGTTTCAGATTTTAAGTTGAATGACTGAAATAAATGAACTTTTGCACGGCATTCAAATTTTTCGAGTTTCACCTGTAAAAAAAGTTTAACTCTGAGGTGAATATGATCTGAAAATGACTTGTTTTTGATGCGGTGTGCAGTTTGTGTGCATGTCCCGACTGAAGCGTGCACTGACCTGTATGGCGTGAGGATGTTGAGGCGGGGGTTTGTCGGAGCGCTGGTACACCTCCATCACAGGGTTCGGGATGGAGTTTCGGGACACCACCTGCTGGTCCTGGATAGTGGAACTCTTGAAGGCTTTTCGCATGTTGATGTCCTGTAAGGATACTGGAGAGCAAGCAGACAGACCCATCAAACACCATCAAACACCAGCACCAATCTATTACTGGGATATAAGAGACATAACTCCGTTGATGGCCTTTCCCTGTTGAAGTGGGCAGTTTTTGGCTTCAGTTTTTTTCAGATTTTATCGGGTAGTTGTCTATTCACAAACTAATGCATTTTGTCGGAATGAATGCATTTATAAGTTAGGCACACATGAACGTTCATTGTACACTATAAAAAATGACAAAACCTACATTTTTATATTGGTCTAGCTGAAAATCATGGATTAAACCTTCAGAACAGAATAATTCACCATGACGTCACAACAATAATAGACGTTCTTCCGGGTGGCAAAAGCCGAAGCGTCCCTATGGCAACACTAGTAAATTGCATGGAGGGAGACACACCGCCGGCAGAAGCCTAATCTACATTTCAACAGTTGATTCAAAAACAGACGTGGTGGAAATTCAGACATAGTTAACATGATCATTAGAGCTTAGATTCTTTGATCTAGAGACGTGCACTCCCGGCGGCGCGGGACTAGATCTGATGGCCGAGTGCGAGCAGTAGTGCATTCACTCTGTGTGTGCGGATTGCGGGAGAAACTAGAAATATCTATGAATAAAACAAATAAAAACGAATACATTTGTATTCATCAGCTGTTTTCAGAAAAACAACAAGAACAACTAAAACAAAATAGAAATGACTTACATGGCTTACACGAGTTTCTTTTTATAACGTGACTGCAGCGATGAGCGATGTAGCCAATCACAGACATATGTGTTGATTTATTGAACGCATTGGCCAATCAGAAGCATTTACGATGAAGAAGCATTTACTCACCGCTCAAAAGAACGTAAAAGAAAGTAATAGAAATAACTAAGTTAGTTGAGAACGTCAGTTATATAACGACCCACGTATTAAAATGGTTGGGTTTAAATGGGGCTCAGGCTCATAATTAGAAGACGACATGCACTTTTGACGACGTCCACTCGCTTTAACCTCCTCACCCACAGGTTCTGCTGGATAGATTTACTTTTTTTCTGAAGGAAATCGATAAAAAAATCTACACCTTTTGCTGTATATCTGGTGGCGCAACCCCAAACACAACATATTTTCGCCATAGATTCAACTTTGATCAACAACAATGATTTTAACTGTGTAACTGTTCAGTTGCCGGCTGGATCTCTTCAGTTAGTCAATGGAAGCCACTCGCGTTCTGCCACCCGGAAGTATCGCGGTGCCTATTGTTTACAAACATTCTGAAATGCCCTATAAAAATTGAAATAAAACAATTTCGTTTGAATAGACATTTGAAGGGAATATTCCTGTTTTTATTTATAGCAAGTAAACTAAATTGAACACTGACTAACACCAGAGGAGGAAAGTAACGAATTACATTTACTCGCGTTACGTAGCGCCCGTGTGTCTCGTCATATCAATAAACCAAATAAATAGAGTAAAGTTTCTCCGGCTGCTTTGTCGCATGTCTAGTGTGTGTGTGTGTGTGTGTCTGGTGTGTGTGTGACAGGAATATTTTCTTTATTTTCTATTGTCTATTCAAATGAAATTGTTTCTTTTCTTTTTTTTTAAATTAGAAATTCCGTTCTGAAGGTTTAATCCATGATCTTCAGCTAGACCAATATAAAAATGCACTTTAAATGATCGATACGGTTTTGCCGCTTTTTACAGTGAATGAACATTCATGTGTGTTTAAAGCAACACCAAGTAGCTTTTCCTCTGCGGTCGCCCTACAGGTTGGAAGTGGAAGTGTCCATTACCGCTGTCATAAATAATTTATCGTAGCGCATCCTACTGTCACACACACACACACACGCTGTTTATCCGGCACCGGCTTTAGGATGAACAATGTCCACAGACGAGCTAGAGTATGTCGCATGATTTCATGATAAAAATGACGTATTGCAACATCACAAACGAAGAAAAACAAAATAATGACTATTCTATTGACGTAAAGCAAGTCAAATTTGTAGTTTTCTTATGTCTCGTTAGAACTACAGAAACGCGACCCGATCTGGCACAGCGTGGTTATAGTAGATGTAGGATCCAGAAGAACCTTTCACCCTGTTACGACTTAATGAACCACTGAAATGATTTTGGAAACATTATTTTAAGGTAAAAAAAATCTTACATAGTGTTGCTTTAACTTATAAAAGCATTCATTTTGACAAAATGCATTAGTTGGTACTGCGCCAACATACAGCCTGACACCAGCGTGCTGTTCTCCAGGATGGGGTCATCAGTGGGTCAGTTTCTGTGAATGCTCGACTCGTACGCACCCTCCTCCACGGTGGAGTCCAGTTGCGTGACCTTCACCGCCAGCAGGTCCACACGCTCCTGCAAACCGTTCATGCGCACGCAGAAGCTGTTGGCCTCATTAAACAGCTCGCCGAAGATGTCCTCTGCGTGTCGACCTGAATGCATACACACATATTGTAGAATAAGGCAAACACAGGAATTTATGTACAACATCATTTATTAATAAGAGACACAATGCGGAGAAATCGACATTTTTTTCTCGTTCTAATGTCGTTTCTTGAATGTGACTATAAAAATGATCAATATGTTGGAGTGGGAAATGTTAAAGGCACATCCTTTAAATAAATAATTAAGAACAAGCAAAAAAATAAATAAATAGGGCGGCACGATTTAGCGAGAAAATCGAATTGTAATTTTTCTAATAATGATTGCGATTTAAAATGTGATTTTGAAAGGAATTCCAGGTTTTCTGTGTTTGCATGTCGGACTGCACTATTTAGCTGTAAAGTTGTGATTATACATCAATATGGCGATATAACTATAATAATATATTATAAAAATGCATTACTATAATCACATATTATTATAATTGTTAACAATAAAACTGTATTATTATTACAATTATTATAGAATAATACTATAAAACAAAATAAGATTATTAGCCTATATTTGTAGAACTATTTTAACATTTATCTCAAAATAAAATAAATAAATATTGAGAATTTATTTCAAAATATATAATATATATATATATATATATTTGTAAAATGTATAATATAAATAATATATTTATTATTTATTTATTTATTATGTCCAGCCTAGTAAAATTGACATACTCTTTATTCCAATATTATTCAAAATATTAAAGATTACAGATTTTGTAGTCAAATTATGTAGTTGATTGGTTTATCTGTGATAGTAATGCATTGAAAGAAACAAATGAAATATTATTAACTGATATGTATTCTTTGTCCCGTCAGCTTATTGTTTTTCTATGCATTTTTTTTCCCAAAGTAAAATAAAGCCTGTAGCTGTAGTTTCCCTTTTTTTAACCAAATAATTTTGTCAGATCAGATGAATACCTTAACCAAGTTTAGTGTTTTGTTCTTCATATTTAAAATAAATATATAAAAAAGTACCTCATATTTTGTGCGGCCATTAAAAACAAATATAACTTTTGCCCACTATATACATTCTAACAGTAAAATTACAGTACTAATATTTATGGCTGTTTCAAATGTTGAACAATGAAATGGCTATTTTGACAGAAAACCACAGGGAGAGATTCTCATCACAAGTACATAAAGCTTGTTTGTTCACAAATACACATTAAAACGACTCCACGTCAGATGAAGTTTGTGTGGTGGAGCAGCATTTACTGTGGATTGAGCAGCTCCTCAGTGCATATTTATTTAATTCAACATCAGACCTTGTGATAATTGAAGGGTTAAAATGTCTGTGGGTCAACAGTAGAAGTGAGCAAACGTACTGAGTCCTCCCAGCTGTTTGATGATGGCCGCCAGTGTGCTGTTGGTGACGCACTCCAGCTCGTTGGTCACCCCGTCAGGCAGCGCGCCCCGACACAGGTGCTTGGGCTCGATGGTCCTCTTCACAAGAGGCATGGCTGTCCTCGACTGCTAACACTGACCTGTGAGAGGACACACAAGGGATTTTACACAACATGGTCACAGCAAACTCTAGATCATGTTTAGACCTCCAATCCTACAGTCTTTCAAAGTACTTAAAGTCCCGCTGTAGTCAATCATTCATTATAAAACTCATCTTTGATCACCAAAATTACATATTTAAACTTTTTTTTCCCTTAATGCCTTAAAATAGCTTGAATGTAACTCGATCCCCTTGCCTCATTTAGTATGCGCGGTTCTATGAATATGCAAATGAGCCCCGCCTCCACTGGTTGTCGATCACACGTTGATCTGATTGGTTACAAGGTCGTTTGTGACACCAGCGATTTTACTTTCAGCGAGAAAATACTGTCGACTTATGAATTTACACATGGTTTGTCTTAAAGCATATTAAAAACACCACATAGACACATAAACAACATTAAAAACTTGATTTTCACAACAGGGGTCTAAAATAAAATCGGATTACATATTAAATATATCAGTCGTGGGAACACACATAATATAACACAGGGTCTCATTCACTAACAGCCAATACATGCATATTTTCATGTAAAATATATGTACAGATTGTCCGTCGCAGCATTCTCTCCATATTAACGACTCTTGAAACGACACCGGAAACCGAAAGTAACGCACTCCCGCTAAACGTTTACTCAAACGATACAAGTCGATATCATTACGCCTGAAAGTTTGCAAAGAGTATTTCCTACTAAAGCAAGGTGGTGTTTGACTCTTGTTAGCGTATCAATAGCAGACTGGAGGGCGTGGCCTTGGACAGCACAAGCCCAGTGCATTATGGGTGTTGAAGTTTTCCTACCAATTTGGCGAAATTTGGCTGAATTCTGGGTTTTCTCAGGAAGCACTGATTTCAAATTAGTTTGAGCCTTTCTACACTAGCCAAGCTTTATTAAAAGCACATTTTGCCAGCAGGGAATAACCCTTTAAACTGCTGAATCAACCTTACTGACAGTATAATGATGCTCCCCTTCACACACCAGCCCAGAGCTGAGAACAACTGGATCAGTTTCTCAACAGTCATTTTGTATTCTGTCCTGAGAGAAAATGTCCTGAATTATTCAGTAAAACATCCAGTCTCACACTATACAGACTCCTTCATTTGTTTAAATGTCCTCACAGGACAGTGATGAAATGCTGAGGACTGCATCTCTTCCGGTTCTGGTCGTGGCTGTTTAACTCAAGATGCTTTCTAAGTAGCAATCAAAGATTGCAGATGTTTTTGAAAATGATACCGTTATTATCTACAAATAAGCGAATTTGTGAGAACGGTGAGATCTTGTGCATGAGTAGTATATGTTCAGTCTATACACGCGTACTGTTTCTTTACAAAGTGACATTGCCAACTGCTGGCCTGGCATAAACAATCAAAAACAATTGTTTTTGATTGTTTTGACAATGTTTTCGTCTCTAAGCGAAAAACACAAAGAAAAAACGTTTCTGTTTTTAGTGTTATCAACTTGTCGTGTAAACGTTCCCTTAACAGTCAGGAGAAAACGAACTGAACAAGAAACAGGTGCACAAAGCAATCAGTAACCATGACAACAAATACTGAATGAGAACTGGGAAAACCAAACTAAAACACAATGAAACTAAACAAAAACCCTTACAATATTAATCTAGATTGTCATTTATTGCACTGCCTACAGTTTTCATCCCACAGATGCCAGTTCCCCAGGATTGATTACGTTGCTCTTGCTTTTTGTAAAATGTTTTTCTAAATGTTTTTGATTGTCAAAGAATGAGTTGCCATCAATAATTGTATATGGTGTCTCTTGTGCAAAAGAAAAGCTTAACTGTATTGAATGTGCATTTCAAATCTTAAAAAGCATATATAAAATTTAGCAGCATTAACAAAATCAAAGGCCACTTAAGTGTCCTTAATGACACCACTTTCATGACACCTTTTTAAAAGTGCACTTTGTAATAATGTCAAATTAAAGTTTTACTTTAAATAAAAAAATTTAATAATTATGTTTTACTTATATTTTGTTGTGCTTAAAAGTAGTATACTGATATACATTAATATAGAGTATATATTTATATGATTACCATATCTTATTTATCCCTGACATTTGTCAGCCAATATTTACAGCCAATATATAAATTCAGCTAATTATTTTTGCCATGATTCATTATTCATTTTGCAAAATATATTTAGTCATAATTGTAAATGAAGAGACAACTTGCACTATAGGTGAGTATTAGCAAACATACACCAGGCTTTACATTTACTGGCTCAATAATTTAAATTTGGATTGGGATTGTAAGAATACACAACACTAGGTTAAATACAGCATAACTATACAAATAAATAGAAAAACAACACTACATTAATTATTGAGCCAATAAGAATCACAAGGAGATATTGTCTGACTTGATGCAAACAAACAAACAGACGGTAAGTGGGTTGTTGATTACAGACTGGCATATCATCGAAAAATGTTACCTTTACTGAACCAATAAGGGTCATGTGCACCGGCAGATAAGTCCCATTTATAAATCAAGCCGGATCACAAAATTAACAGCATAATGTAAGCCTGTGAAACGTTACAGATAATTAAATAAGCATAAGTGTGCTACAGTAGGGCTTTTAGCATAATGCATAATAAAGCCAATTCTAATACATGTCCTAATCAATGAAGAAATAAAAACATTTATCTTATTGTGCTGAGTCTGACATGGATGCACACAATTATAAAAGTCGATCTCTGTAAACGCACTCCACGTCCGTTGAGAGATCATATGTAGTAATCTAAAGCATTGAGTATTGTTAGCCACTGATTACAAAAATGTCCTAATCAATGTCTCAAAAGCCAGTGTTTTGAATAAGCCCATTAATGCCTACTGTTGCACATGGATTCAGTGTTTCGCATATTTTGTAGCTGCAGAGAAAGGTTTCAAAGACTGTACCTTATCTTTACATTAGAAAATCCATTTGTGAATCAGATCCTGTTATGTCTTTCAGAAAGACACTTGATGCACTACTGTACTGGGGCACATGATCGGCCGAGCAAACGGCATTTTCACTTTCGGCTGAGATTTCAAAGGAAAATATTTCTCAAACACATGCAGCCAAGTACTTTTTTTGTTGTTGTCAAAATACACTCCAAAGTAAACAAATAAAATGGGCCAAGCCAAAATATTTAGTGGTCTTTCAATCACAAATCACTGTTCAGCAAATTAGCAGGAATTGCACAAATATTGTAGATAAAGTAACTTAGCATGGAATAGCCTGACAACTTGCAGACAGTGTTGTTCCACTCAAAGTTACTAGCTTCAAACAGTTCACGAGTAGCAATGAAATGTCTCCCAGTTCATTTGAGTTTAATGTGAGACCAAATATTCACTATAGGGTTTAAATCTGGACTCTGACCACCAGGCCAAAACATGAGCCCGATGGACTGGTTCTCAAGCCACTCCTTTGCAGTGTGTGCAGGAACATCGTCTCGTTGAAAAATAACATCTGATCATTCCTCTTTAGATAACAACTTTTAATTTGTAAGCAAGCCATTCTGCAATATTCCCCAGTACACCAAAGGATTCAATTACTTTTCACAGTGAAGAAGCTCTCCAATACCAGCAGCTAAAAAGGTCTCCATACTTTTCTGTGGTAGAGTTACAAAGTTCTGTCATGAAAATAGATGGGGCAGACTGAAAGGTACTTAACTCAATCTTCTTGCAATCACATCATTCTCTATAAGGCACAGCTGATTGGTTCCTGCTGCATAAGTAGCCAATGAGCTCACTGCCCAACCTTTAAATACTGATCAGCATTAGCTGTAGCAATTGCAGCAATAACAGCAGCAGCCACAATAACAGCAGCAGCATTAACAACAGCAGCAGCATGAATAACAGCAGCAGCATCAATAACTGCAGCAGCCACAATAACAGCAGCAGCATCAATAACAGCAGCAGCATCAATAACAGCAGCAGCATCAATAACAGCAGCAGCATCAATAACAGCAGCCGCATCAATAACAGCAGCAGCATTAACAACAGCAGCAGCATGAATAACAGCAGCAGCATCAATAACTGCAGCAGCCACAATAACAGCAGCAGCATCAATAACAGCAGCAGCATCAATAACAGCAGCAGCATCAATAACAGCAAAAGCCACAATAACAGCAGCAGCAACAATAACAGCAGCAGCATCAATAACAGCAGAAGCCACAATAACAGCAGCAGCATCAATAACAGCATCAGCAGCAACATCAGCAGCCTCAATAACTGCAGCAGCATCAATAACAGCAGCAGCATCAATAACAGCAGCAGCATCAATAACAGCAGCAGCATCAATAACAGCAGCAGCATCAATAACTGCAGCAGCATCAATAACAGCAGCAGCATCAATAACTGCAGCAACATCAGCAGCAACAATAACAGCAGCAGCATCAATAACAGCAGCAGCAACAATAACAGCAGCAGCATCAATAACAGCAGCAGCATCAATAACAGCAGAAGCCACAATAACAGCAGCAGCAGCAGCATCAGCAACATCAGCAGCCTCAATAACTGCAGCAGCCACAATAACTGCAGCAGCATCAATAACAGCAGCTGCATCAATAACAGCAGCAGCATCAATAACAGCAGCAGCATCAATAACAGCAGCAGAATCAATAACAGCAGCAGCATCAATAACAGCAGCAGCCACAATAACAGCAGCAGAATCAATAACAGCAGTAGCATCAATAACTGCAGCAGCATCAATAACTGCAGCAACATCAGCAGCAACAATAACAGCAGCAGCATCAATAACAGCAGCAGCAACAATAACAGCAGCAGCATCAATAACAGCAGCAGCCACAATAACAGCAGCAGCATCAATAACAGCAGCGGCCACAATAACAGCAGCAGCATCAATAACAGCAGCAGCATCAATAACAGCAGCAGCCACAATAACAGCAGCAGCATCAATAACAGCAGCAGCATCAATAACAGCAGCTGCATCAATAACAGCAGCAGCCACAATAACTGCAGCAGC